ATACATACATACATACATACATACATACATACATACATACATACATACATACATACATACATACATACATACATACATACATACATACATACATACATACATACATACATACATACATACATTCATTCATTCATTCAGTAGCATGTCCCTCGCGGAACCTCGCTGCCGTAACAACCCTCCGGAAAACCTTCCTATCCTGAGCAAGATGTCCTGCGTCTGATACACCCATATGGAGATCATCTGCCACATCCTGCACCCATCTTCTCCTTGGCCTTCCTCTTCCTCTCTTCCCAGGCATATACCCCTCCATTATTGTTCTCTCTAGACTTCCATGGCGTTTCAAGTGACCAAAATATTTCAATTTTCTTTGTTTTATTGTCTTTACTAGCCAACCCTCTTCAATATTCAGCTCTTGAAGTATGGATGCATTTGTTCTTTTCTTTACCCAAGATATTCTTAGAACCTGTCTGTAACATTTATATTCAAATGCATTTATGCGCTGTTCCGCTTGTTTAGTAAGTGTCCAGGTCTCACAGGCGTATGTTGCAATGGGAAAGATGCATGCTCTTAAAAATCTGACCTTTGTAATTCTATCTGTACAATTCCATAATTTATTCAGTTGTTTTAGTCTTTGAAGAGCAATTGATAGTCGCCGTTTAATTTCTTTCATTGTGTCACCATTGTTGGTAACCAGTGACCCAAGATATTCGAAATTTTCCACCACTTCCAATCTTTCCTCATTAACATATATTTCCTTCTCCATGGCAGTTTTGTTTGTATGCATTATCTTTGTTTTTGCTATGCTAAGAATAAGAAATAAGTTATGATTTTCACTATTTCTTTGGAGTGAGGTTAATAAGTTTTCTAAACCATTTTGTGATGTTGATAGTAATACTGTATCATCAGCATAACGAATTTCTGGTATTTCATGACCACCGATGTTTAGGGCATCATATTGTTCCTTGTTTAAATCATCTCTTACATTTCTCATTATATTTTCGGCGTACAGGTTGAACAAATACGGTGACAGCACACATCCCTGACGGACTCCTTGCTTGATGCCAAACCAGTCTGATGTCTCCCCATCTATTCTGACTGCTGCTTGTTGGTCTTGATAGAGCATTTTAATGAGCTGCACTATATGTGATGGAAAGCCCATATTCCTCATGATTTCCCAAAGCTTCTGATGTTGTACACAGTCAAATGCTTTTGAATAATCCACAAAACATAAGAACAGATTTAAATTAAATTCTCTACACTTCTCTATTATTAAACGCATGTTGAATATATGATCTCTTGTTCCTCTTCCCTGTCTAAATCCAGCCTGAGCTACATTAATCTCTTCTTCCATTTCTTATGCAGTCTTCTCATTATAATTTTTAGTAGAATTTTACTTGCATGACTGATCAGGGCAATAGTTCGATAGTTTGTACATAATTTCAGGTCACCCTTTTTTGGTATTGGAATGAAGATAGTTCTCTTCCAGTCTTTTGGCCAAATACCATATTTCCATATCTTTTCACATAATGCATGATAGATTTTTTTATGCTTTCTTCTCCTCCCGCTTTAATCAATTCAGCTGGTATCTCATCACATCCAGGTGATTTACCATTTTTTCAGGCTCCTTATTGCCCATGAAATTTCATCTAATGAAGGTTCAGGTTCTGCCTCTACTGTTACTGGTTCATGTATATCATTCATATCCTCACTGTCATTCATATCATACATTCCGCTGCAGTATTCCTGCCATCTTCCTAGAATTTGTCTAGATTCTGTTAAAGTATTTCCCAACCTGTCACAAATAACATTTAACTGAGGTTGAAAATTTCTTGTCAATAACTTCATTTCCTTGAACATTTCGTAATCTCTTCCATTTTTATGATGCTGCTCTATTTTAGTGCAGCAATCTTGTACATACTGATTTTTATCCTTTCTTGTGTACTTTCTTATTTCTCGTGTTAAAAATTTATACTTCATCCTACTGTCATTGGTTTCTCCTTTCTTTTTCAGTTCCCTTCGTTGTTTTATTAGTTCTAACGTGTATGGACATACATACATACATACATACATATGTGCCGTCAGGTATATTGGAACGTATACATATATATATATATATAAGTAGAATCAGACAGATAAATTCAGACAGTCGAGTAGACAGACATGGATGATGACCCCATGCTTCAGTCTAAATGGCACCCAGTCTGCATGCAGTCTGTCTGAAGGTGATGAATTGTTTCAGATATTGAATCGCATTTTATCTTGTTGAGTGTTTTGCGTCTATCGAGTAATTTTTCTTACACGAAGCTGTGAGTTCAGGAGCAGTCGGAAACTTACAAGCAGTAGCGATGGTGTAGTAGGTAGATGTTCGCAAGCAGATCCGAAGGTAGTGGGTTCGAATCTGAACGGAGTCGGACCTGTTAGTTCTCAAACATGACCTTGGCTTTCAGGCTGCCCCAGCCTTAAATGGGTACCAGGTTCAAGTCCTGGCAGAGGGCACTTATGATGCCAGTAGTGTACTGAACATTTGAAACAAAAAAAAAAAAAAAAAATTTAAACACGATTCTGCATGCAAAGGACGATACAGTCAGCCTAAGGTTAACCTTCTTTACTTCCCAGGACATGGCCGGATGCCCATTTGAGGCGTCTACGTCGACCTGGGAGCCAAGATATGCTGGAAAATGTAAAATAAATCAGACTCGATGCGCATTAGAATCATGATCTTCGTTGCAGATTTCAAGCTGAACGATAGTCATTGCTAATGGAAACACCTAGTTTTTAGGGGTGCCTAGTTAGTCATGCGCATAGTAAACTTGTTGCCACAGCAGGGTGTATTCTTCTTTTAGGGATGACAGTTCGATTCCCCACACGGTAACTACAGCCTTTGATTTTTATTATGTCTAGTGTGCCCTTTTATGTTTTTACTTCTTCCTTTGAGCGCTGATCAATACACTGTCTGGAGCGTCTGTTGACAAGTGGTTCTCACACTATTTCAGATACATGGTGATTGTACACCCAATGAAAGCCCGGTCGTGGTGTACTTTTGAGAACACCAAGAAAATTGTGGCCTGTGTCTGGATCGTTGCTATAGCCTTGTCATCTCCGACCTTGTACGTATGGGTAAGTTCTCTCGGTGTTCGTCATTTCACTTGTGTAAGGCTTCTTCCTGTTGTTGGTGTCATTGTGGAAAAAATATCGATTGGTGATGTTTCAAACAGATTTTGAGAAGTGGCACCGAAACCCTCCGAACACACACACTCACACACACACAAACACACACACACGCACGCACACGCACGCATGCACGCACGCACGCACACACACACACACACACACACACGCACACATACACATGTATAGGGTTTTCATAAAAAAGGGCCGTTACTCACCTTCATCATCATCATCATCATGTCGTAAATCTACGTGTCGTTGGATCACCAGTTTCTGTTGTCTATCTGATCAGCTCTCTCCACCTTTGACGGTCAGGTCCGATGGACTTCATAGTTGCCTGCCTGTCCACTCAGTCAGGTTCTCAGTCTCTCTTGGTCTGCCTCTTCTCCTCTAAATATTTTAAATGGATAACTTGTTCTAATTTGTGGGCTTTAATGTAGATTGGGGGAAATTCTGTCAGTTGGATTATTAGTCATTACCTTTGTTCCTTTTTTCCCCCTCGTTTATTTCCATGTCAAACTTGGTTGATTCTTCATCGAGTAGATTAACAAGTTCAACTTGCTCCTGCTCTTCTCTGGCTAACCAATCAGTTTCATCTGCAAACCTTAAGTTTGTTATAGTTAGAACTCCGATACCAACTGTTCCATGATGTTGTTCTAGGACATCAGTCATAATTTTTTCTAAAAAGATGTTAAACATTGTTGGAGAGAGGAGACAACCCTGACAGATTCCTACTGTTGCTCGGAACAAGCTGCCTATATGTCCGTTTAGCGTGACAGCACTGCTGACCTTGGCATAGAGCTTACTACGTATGAGGGTTTTACCCAAATTGTACTTTTTCATAACGTCCCAGAGTGCTGCATGCCATATTCTATCAAAGGCCTTTTTTGAAATCAGTGAACACATGCTATAGGTGTTTTTTTTAGTTCTGGTGGCATTGGTCGGATGTTATGCGTAGATTAAATATCTGTTCAACAGTGCTTTTTGAGGCACGGAAACCCACCTGTTCCTCTGCTATTATATTTTCTGCATGTGCCTTTAATCTGTTCAGGTGTATCTTGAGCAAGACTTTACTGCGAAGACTGATAAGACTTATAGTCCTATAAATTTTACATTGTTGTAAATTCCCCTTGTTTGGGATGATAATGAAGAGTGATCTGGTCCAAAGAGATGACCCTCCTCCAGTCTCCCAAATTTTGTTACAGATTTCAGTGAGGATGTTGAAGACGTCCTCTCCACCCGCCTTTGAGGATCTCACCTCACAGCAGTGATTCCCAAACTGTGCGCCGTGCCATTTTTTTTTGTGGGGGGGGGGGGGGGGATCTCTTACAGACGAATAGTCGTACCTTTACTTAGATTAGGGCGCTGTAGAAAAATTTGATTAGAAAAAAGGCGCTAAGACAAGTTTGGGAAACACGGCCTTACATAATCTAAAAAGGGGCCGGTACTCAACACAAAATGACTTACATTGGCGCTGACAAAATTGTACTCATAAATGGTACCGATAGTGCTTGTCGACAGAAGAAAAACAATCCTTTACAAACACACACAGACACACACACATATGCACTCTCTCTCACACACACACTCACACATACGTACATACATACATACACACACACACACACACACACACACACACACACATATTATTCATTCATTTGATTTTTTATATTTTATTTGTAAAGTCATTTTCATGAACAGATGAAATTACGCTGAAATAATGTCTACGAGTAATTTCAATTGAGGATTTACGCTTTCCGACCTTTTTAGGATGAAATTTTTCGTTATTTGAAGCCCTACCCTGGCTTTTGCCAGGGGCCGCAATATAGCCCGGCCATAAATATGGCCTAGGGGCTGAACGCGGTTTCTGGGACTTCTCCACGGTGATCCTCATCCACATGGTGGCACTTTGTGTCATCGGGTGTTTATCGCTTGTGTGATGTATTGGTGGGGTAGAAAGTCAGTCAGTCTCCGTAATTTGAATTGTTATGACTCCCTCCCCATGTGGGAAGAATTTTTCGTTATTTTACGCTAAATCCTGGTTGTTGTCGGGAGCTCCGACCCGCCACTAGTGTGGTAACGACACATTATTTTGCTATGGAACAATGTTACAAATCCATTTTCCGTAACTTTCAATCTAGGCCACAGAACAGACAGTCTACTTCAACAACGTTACAAGAGTAACAGTTGTGCTGTGTGCTGACATCGGCGTGGACAGCAACGACAGGCTGGTATATGCCACGTACCAGTTCCTCATCATGTTTCTCATTCCTGTCATCATCATCTTCGTGTGTTACATCTTCGTCATCCATGCACTGTGGATGTCGTCGAAACAGCTCATAGAGATGACGTCATGTGACAGGTATATGATCTATGTTGTAAGTCGTCAGACTGTCCTCATTATACATAGAACTATTCAGCCCATAAGTTCTCTCGGATCCCCTCCCCAGTAAATCCCTCAACGATTAGCGGCTGACAGCTCTCGTTCTGTGTTGGTTTCTGATTCTTGTTCGGCTTCCTGTGTCGGTGTATGTGAATTGGGCGTTGCAAACGCGTTTCTGTAATCCTGGTGTGCCGGCTTTGACCCAGCTGCAGGCCTTGCGCCTTGCGTTGGTTTCGACAGTGGTATCAAGAACCCCACCCTCCACAAAGCAATGGCACACTATTGGATATGAATTTGCCTTGGAAAACCACAACTGCCAAAAAATACTGGATTTGGTTCTGCAACGTCCTGTAAAGGAAAACCAACCAACACCCCCCTCCCTCCCTTTTTCATAGAGCTCTTATGTCGCCACATCAGTTTTAACTGGTTGTTCTTGCAGTCTGGTCATAGCTGCATATTTGCAGTCATCACTTTGTTCTCGCAAACGTCTCACTTCTCGCAGACAATTTGTATAGAATAAACGCAATCCATGGCTCTTCTACCCTTCACAGTAGAGTTACCGTCAGCTTGCTCATATTCTTGCACGCCTTTATCACTGTCACTGAAAAGCATGCACAGGTAAATGGCTGTGTCTCCAGTCATGTTATTGCTCTCGTCACTGCCATGTCCTCCATTGTCAGACTATTTGTGGTCATTGCAACAGCACCAGAATCTATCTTCACAATTTTAACTCCAACCTGATCCGTAACAGTCTACGAGCTTCTCACAATAGTAACCACCCACTCATCTTAACTACATTCCCTATGCCTCTGTCCCTTGGAGGGGCATGATCGCCCACCAGTAGGCAAGACAGTTGATGATGATGATGATCTGACAGAGCTTTGTTTTGTGATACCCCATTCTACTTTGTAGCGTTCATTGACTGGTAACTACGGCGGAAAGTCCTGGTTGTTTGTCCACTTCTGAACTTTGCTCATGTTCCAGAACAAAGTTTTGCTTGTATGTCTGTTTTACAGATCTGGCTCCTTGGATGCAGACTGTTAGTTCCTCGCCTGTCAGGATAATGCACTGAGACCTCGAATCAAACACTTAGTCGAAGGAGATTGCAAGTCAAAGGACACGGGAGATTACTCCTCAGACGCCTACTTATTGTTTCTTATTGGGGGGAGGTGGCCTTGTACTGTTCACTGGGAGTTATTTCGACACGGGCCGCGAGATTAGGAGATTTCCCAGGACACTCCTATAATCTAGGGGTTTCGATGTTCTCTATTGTTTTTACATATACTTATTGTACAGCCACTTCAAACGAGGGTAAAAAAATGACCTTGCTACATACTCAAACTGTGATGCACTGCACACAGGTGATCTCGGTGTTTAAAATTTACTCTCAACAACAATAATTCATCCCAGTAGCAACAGACGTTCACAGAAAGAGAGTTGCGAAAAGAAAGCTGCAAAGTTTCGACTGGGAAACAGTGTGCCGACACTAACGATATTCTGGGTCTTAAAAAACAAAACAAGTGTGTCTTTAATGTCACTGTCCACCTTTACGAAAGTCGGCTCCTGCCTCTTTTCCCACATATCCTGCCACTGTGACAGCCAAAAAAGGGGAAAAAATTACACAACCTTTTCCATAATACTTTAGGTTAGCTGCGTATCCTTTACAAGACGTTGAAGAACCAACCCCAACAGTCCCTGGCTGTTGTGTGCTTTTTCTAGGCAAATTTAATGCCAGTGGGCCAGGTACCAAAAATAAATATTCAAGGGAAAATGGCTTCGACTAAGAATAGAAGTGAACAGTTGTTTGATAAAGATAAAGATACGTTCATTAAGCGGGGAACTACGTCGACTGTATAGATTGTGATTATATTTGGAACGGGTCGGTTAATGGAACGTCGAAAAGCGAGTCATTGATTAACAGGGCTCTACTGTAACTAATTGGATGACTTGTGGTTTGGGGCTAGTGAGGCCAGATTTAGAAAGGAAGAAAAATCATTTAATGACAGCAATTACAAATAACTGTCTATAATGCAAGGATCTACAACTTTTGGGAGCTGCCTCGTAACGTTGTTTTGTAGCTACTAGACGCGCAATGCAGGCTCGAAGGTAGTGGGTTCAAATCCACATCGGTTTTTTTTAACCCTGGCTCCCAGATTGACCCAGTCTAAGGTAGGTACTAGGTAAGTCATGGGAAGTAAATACAGCCTGCATGATGTTGCTAAAGCATTAACCTTGAACTATAAAGGTTATGATGAGTTTTAAAATTCGTACCATCACACTTAAACAAAACATCTCTTGGCCTAGATGTCCCATGTCGTTACCATTTTATAAATTTTCAGTTGCACAGGTGCTGCTGTTCTCATGAAGTGGCGAATTTCTTTGATCTTGAGTGACTAATAATTAGTGTACCACTAAAAATAGGAGATAAAGTAATTGACACACGCGTGGAGACTGCTAGGAAATTAATTCACACGTGCAGTGATGCAGGATGATTACTTTGATAGCATATTCCGCATACAATGTTCAAATACCTCATGTTAGGTTAATGGTGGAATAGAAAAAAGCAACTGAGAGTGAAGCGCCTATCAAACCCGTGTAATCTGAAAAGTTTATTTTACTCATTTTACTGTAAACATGTTGACTGTTTACTTTGAGTCTGAGTTTATTTTCTCATTTACCAAAAACAAAACAAAAAAAAGGCAAAATGAAAACTAGCAGCGTATTGACATTAAAAAATTGTTTTCTTACAAGGACATAACTATCAACACGTAGCATGCCAAATTTCAACAATTTAAACCGAACGGTTACTGATTTACATATTAATTTAAAAAAAAAAAAAATTTAGCATGACTTCTTGAACGGACTACATAATTTTTATTGTTGTTCCCGACAGAATAAAAAATATTCAACTCATAAGGATCGAACCCTGGTCGCGAGCCAAGCTCTTTAACCACACTGCCAGCCTCTTATCAGCAATCCCAGGCAAAGATATTCCTGTATCAAATTAGTCATGTATTAGTTGACGTTTTAATATGTTGTATCAATTTTCATACTGATGACTTCGGCTACAGTGGCTATCTGACGATATCCACACAAGACGAGTCGGCTCTCAGTTCTGCTCAGACTGAAAACTCAAGTCCTCATGCTCCATGCACGCAGCGCCACTCGCACATTCGCTCCCGCAGAAGTATGCTAAAGCGGGTCACACGAGAACACAGTGTTGAGGTTCTCCGTGCTCGAAAGCAGGTAGTGTATTGGTTCAAACACAGTTTTCATCAAAATACTAAGTTCATTTATCGATTAATGTTGTTTGGATGCAAAGTATTGCTGCAGTAAAGTTCTGTTTCTTTTTAAATTCTTCATCGACCTTATGTGAGTCGCCGTGGCAAAGCGGCTAGACGCGCGCGATCGGAAAGTCGTAGGTTAGCTTCCTGGCGAAGCCGGACTTTTCTTTGAAAACGACATTGGCACCCAAGTCGACCCAGCCTTGAATGGGTACCGGTGTAGTCCCGGGAAGTAGAGGCGGCCGGCGTGATGCTGCCCACATCACCCATCCTATGCCGTTGGTCTATAAAATATAGGTCTAGCCCTATATGCCCTCTACGCCTAAAGGTGTGGAAAAGGGTCCTTTACTTTACTTTAAATTTTATGTGTGCAGTGAGAGCTCAGGACTGAAAGAGTTTGGTTATTAGGACAATTAAAATAATTAAAGGGACTGTATTCCAACAACCCCCTTCCCCCCCCCCCCCCCCCCCCCCTTTTTTTTTCATCCCGCCCGCCCACCTTTTTTCCCCTTCCCCGACAATCACTGGTTAGATTTGCTTCCTCCGAAGTCGGAATGCATCTGCCTCAGAGGCCAGGAACCAACGTCTGCACACACATACGTTCCATCTATAAAACGGATGTGCATGTTACACTCAAGTTCTGGAAGAAGACCAAAGTCCAGAAGTGGACAGGCAACCAGAATTTTCCGCTGGAATTTACAACCGGTAAACGCTATTAAGAAAAAACAAATATTATTTAAAATAAAGGTCGCGAGCGTGATACTGATCAATCAGTTTATCTATTCATTACAGATTTGTCTATAAAAACCAAGGACTGTAATTACGTGCTTAGTGCCCTAAAAAGGGGGGGGGGGGGTAAAAACGGTGGGACGGGGAGGTTGTGACGTGAAAGAATCTGGGGCACCAGAAACTGTTGGCTTGTTAGATCTATATTTAAGAGACCGTCCTCATTCTATTCCATAAAATACTTACCTGGTACAGGTAATTAACCTTTACGTCCTTTTTAGGATGAAATTTTTTGTTATTTGAAGCCCCAGCCTGGCTTTTGCCAGGGGCCGCACTATAGGCAGGCCATAAATATGGCCTATTGTCTGAAAGCGGTTTCTGGGACCTCTCCACGGTGATCCTCATCCACGTGGTGGCACCCTGTGTCATCGGGTGTTATCGCTTGTGTGATGTCCTGGTGGGGTAGAAAGTCAGTCAGTCAGTCATTCTATTCTTGGTCGACTGGGATGCAAGGTCAGTTTTGACAAACACATTTACTTCCTGGCGAATTGAGATTCGGAACGGCGAGCGTTTGAATACTAGACTACTGCGACTACTAAAGCATCCTGCCGCGCATAAACGATCTTTTTCCCACGCCTTCACGTATACTGGGCATATAGGGCTAGACCTATATATTATAGACCAATCAGCACTGTGTGTGTGTGAAATGATCAAAAAGACACTGGCCGCCTTTACTTTCCAGAACTCTCCCCCTTTAAGGGGTAGCCAATGTCAATTATTGAAAAACAAGTCCGGTACCGCTCGGAATTGAACCAATGATATTCAAATTCGCAGACGAACGTCTAGCCGCTTCACCAAAGCAACGCATACTCTGTTTAAACACTGGGGTGGATCTCCAGTAGAAGTGGGGCTATTTTGCTTATACATATTTACCCCAGTGGTGTCGATCCTGCCTTAATAAAACGAGTAGTGAAACATTTTCTTAGAGTTTTAATGAATAATTTTTTTTGTAAAGGGGAAGCGACAAGAAATGGGCTTTTAATTAAGTGTCTGTTGAAATGTGGTGTGTTGATCTGAATGGTTCGGATATCGCAGCATAGCTGTATACCACATAAAAACGTGTTGTTCTTCCTTTTAAATGTAAACACAGAGGATGAAGAGGAGGAGGAGTGAGGAAGGGGGAGGATGTGAAGGATGAGAACAAAAAGAAAAACGAGAGAAAGGAGGAAAACATGAGAGGAGAAAAAAGAGGACGAAGAGAAAAAGAAATAATAGTACAAAACCGAAAACATCATAATAAATCGTCTACGATATCTATTTTCGAATCCAGTAGACAAGCCGGCGCAACCTCACGACTCTATTCCCGGATGGAAGCTCACCATATTAACTCCAAGGCTTCATATGTATCAGAAGCCATATCTAGCTCAGAACGGGCCGTAATGAACATGTCAGAACTTGGCTGCAGAAATTTGTCACGTAGCGCCCTCCGACATCCCCTTAAGTCGTTTAACTAAAATTAGGGATGACGTTTTATCTGTCCTCTAATGTAAGAGACTGGAATTCTAATATCCCGTTATAGTACCAGTTTGGATTCTCCGTAAAAACTGGTAACAAAGTAGGCGTTATTCGCGTGATTTTGGTCTTGTGTTTAAGGATTGACATTGCAATGACCCGAAATGCTGTGATTCGAACGTGAAACGAGTAAGGATAGCCCTCGATCTTCGCTTACGAAATTATTTTTAATAGGATCAGTTGTTTAAGAAAAAAGGGTGGTATTTAGCAAATGGACACTTGCCTGGGGACTCAGTGATACTGAGTACAGATCTACATGGTTGCTGATTAATTGAACAAACTGAAATGGACTCTCGGATTGACCCAGCTTTAAATGGGTACAAAAAATATTATATGAAGTAAAGGCGACCGGCATATTTTCGACCACGTAACGAATTGAGTACTGATTGGTCTATAAAATGTAATTTTAGCATTATATATCCCATACATGGTAATGTGAAAAAGTTCTTTACGAATAGCGAAATGCAACGGTGACGTCTAGCAACTTCAGATCTTTATCATGACCATCATTATCATCTTCCACTTTTGCCGTTAACCGTCGTGGGAAGCAACAGTTTCCTATCCATTGCTTGATTGACAGCAATGGCCAATATTCCGTTCCCACGTAGAAGCTCTTTAATATCATCAATAAATTTCTCAAAGCGCGGCCTCTGGCTTCCACTTCTGATCTTTTCATGTTTAGAGCCTAGATATTGCAGCCAGAATGACATCTACAAATTTCGGCCTTCTACTATTCACCGTTTGGGAGATGGCCCAGTAAAAATCACCAGACAGCAGGCACACGGATTTTCAGTCCTACATTACAGGATAGTTGATTGCAGACATTTTACTCAGGTCATACTGATATCTTATAATGTAAAACTGAATATCAACGTGTCTGTTTGTCCGGTGTTTGTCACTGGGCCACCTCCTAAATTGTGAGAAGTAGAAGGGCTAAATGTGCAGATGTCTGGCTGCAATGTCGTGTTTGATGATGCAGTTTGCAACAAGGTTTCTACGTATTTATAATAATCGTCATTTCTTTCCACGCCGTTGTCAACTCCGCACTAATATAGGACACATATGATTATTTTAAAGCCCAACCCGGTTTTTTTTTTAAGGGGGGGTGCGAGGAGGGGGGGGGGGGGCTAATGTAAACCTAATGGTTAAATTGTGTTTCTGCGACTTGTGCTCGGGGGATTATTATCCGAATGGTAATATTTTGTGTCACCGGATGTTTATCGCTCAGTGTGTGGTAAGGTGGAACATCACACAATCACTCACCTTATCCTTCGTGTGGTCTTTAGTTTTCATGTCTTTAGCCTGGTATTCTGTGATAGTACCAGGGTATTCTCGTTAGATAATATTATCAAACCACATGATCGTGTTTCAGTCACTTCCGCCCTTTAATTTCCCAATTTAATTTTAATTTGTTGTTGTTGTTGTTGTTGTTGTTGTTGTTGTATAGTTTGCTTTTGATTTGCAGGTCATAAAAATGCTGATCACCATTGTCCTGGTGTTTCTGCTCTGCTGGGGGCCAAAGCTTTTATTCTCAATCTTCCAACGAATCGGTTTTAACTGGATCTACAACCACTGGGCCTATACTTTAAAGGTAAACTGAAATCTTTTATTTGACCGTGAAATGCACCATCCACAGTTATATGCGAAACTTGCATGCGTTTACACACACACACACACACACACACACACACACACACACACACCCACACAACCCCCCCCCCACACACACACACACACATATATAAACACTTTGTTTAAAAAAATTATAAAAAAGACATCAGATCGCGATTGTTCTTGATGCACCTTCTATAATCCTTATGACGACGGATGTGTCAAATTATAAGGTCTTCGGGGTCCAAATGGAACAATGATGCGCAATACAAGACTCCTTATGTCTACTAGCCCCTTTTGTTCAAGCGCACCTCACCTTCACGTGGTGGACCCTGTTCTTTCCAGCAATACAGTTGAAGGTTGGGGTCCCCCTCCCCCTGCCCCCAGCTGGAAACTGGATGGGACAACAAACAAGTTAAATGCGGAGTCGGAAATACTGCACCAGGAGGAGGATTAAAAAACCACAGTACTACGCAACCCAACGCGATATATAATTTATATATATATATATGATTACAACGTCAGATGAATTTTATGTTGGTGCTCGCACTGTAGAGTCCCACCAGGCAGGTGCAGTGCCGGCTTCTGAACCTCGGCAGAATTCACCCACAGCTACTGGGGGACTTCCTAGACCGTCTTGCGGAGTCAGGAGTCGGCGGATGATAGCTTCTGACCAAACCCAATCAGACAGAAAAATCCCAAATTGCCTTTCGTCCTAATGCACTGGAAAGCAGAGGGGGTCAGCAGTAGGCAGGCTGGCAACAGTAAAAGGATGAGGCTAGAAAACATACCGTATGAAAAGCATGTCAGTGTGTGCTGCATCCCAGAGACCCAGTTGCCAGCAGATCAAATCTTTAAAGTGAGAGGCTACCAGAGCTTCAAATCTGACAGACAAGACAGGCAGAAAGGAGAAGTAATTATTTTTGTGAAGAACAGTATCCATTTAAGTGAGAAGATGACCTTTATGTATGGAGCTGAGTACCAACTCCTGTAAGTTAAAACATACAAAATGAAATGAGATCTCCTAATCTTCTACTGCCCCAATTACAAATCGTTAAGTCTCAGCTCGGTGCCGGCATCAGATACCAACTTTGTTGCAGTTGGAGACTTTAACAGTCATTCACAGAGCTGGGGCTATAACCATCTCAAGAACAGGGGTAAAGAGGTGGACAAATGGCAAGATGACCAGATCTTGCCTTATCTACCCCAGATATATCTGGTATGATAAGTAGGGAGGTAGTAGACCAACTGGGGGGTGGGGGTGGGGGGTGGAAGGGGGCAATATTTCTCACTGTCCAGAATGTATCAGTTTATACAGGCCCAATCATCACAAGTTTATACAAATGGATCAGCAACTGGATACATGCTTATATAGATGGATCGGCTATTGGATACATGCTTACACAGATGGATCAGCAACTGAATACATGCTTACATAGATGGATCGGCTACTGGAAACATGCTTATACAGATGGATCAGCAACTGAACACATGCTTACATAAATGGATCGGCTATTGGATACATGCTTACACAGATGGATCAGCAACTGAATACATGCTTACATAGATGGATCGGCTACTGGAAACATGCTTATACAGATGTCAGCAACTGAACACATGCTTACATAAATGGATCGGCTATTGGATACATGCTTACACAGATGGATCAGCAACTGAATACATGCTTACATAGATGGATCAGCCACTGGAGACATGCTTACTCAGAGGGATCAGCAAGCAGTGCGGTTAAAAATGGGGGTGCCGGAGTCCTTATCACATACCCAGACAACCACCACTGGAGACCGAGTTTCAGGCGGACCGTGATGAGAGCGACGTTCTGCAAAGGACCTGCTACGTGGTGAGGATAGGAGAACTAACATAAGAAGAAGGTATAGTAGAAAAGATTAACGAAAGGGAGGGAAGGGGGGAGGGAATGGCCAAACTGTCGTGTTTTCCAAGCCTAAAGTTTCGAATTATTTTTGTTTTTTTTTACAGATCACAATCAACCTATTGCCGTTCATCCACTCTTGTCTGAACCCTATTATCTATGGCTTCATGTCCAGAAGCTTCCGGTCAAGGATGAAAAACGCCTGCAGAGCCTACACTTGCCACAAACCACGCAGAGGTGACCACTCGGACAAGAGGCAGCAGACTGTGGGATCTGACCATGAACTGGACGTACGCTCAACAAATGGAACAGTTCACACGAAGTTGAGTCTGCGACACGTAAGCAGTAGCCGTTCGGACACATGACGCCAGACGGTTGGCCCCAGCTGGCTCTGTTGCTGCTTCTGCTGCTACTGTTGTTATGTCATCTTCAAGTTCATTAGGAAAGACAGAAGGAAGAACGTTGTTCCTGCCGTCCCCAGACCTGCAACTGATGTTAGTAAGACGAAAAGGAAAAGCACTATCAAAAGCAGCCAGGGACACTCGAGGGACACAGAACACGAAACGGTTATGTTTTGGAAAGGGGATGAAGAGTGGGTGGTTGACTGGGGATTTTGTGGATGCCAGTCGAATCGCTGAAGCATAAGACAATATATCAATGTAAACACTTTGATATCCTAATTCGTACACATTCAGCAAAAAATACACATACCTATTAAAATAAAAACTCACAGAGCGGTAAACAATACATTTAAATATAAAAGTTTTTAATTACATAAACATAGATGATTCATTACTTGACAGTGATACAACGGACATATAATATTAAAATATGTTTATATACTAATCGACACTAATCGAGTAATATGGTTAACATTTATCTATCTATCTATCTATCTATCTATCTATCTATCTATCTATCTATCTATCTATCTATCTATCTATCTATCTATCTATCTATCTATCTATCTATCTATCTATCTATCTATCTATCTATCTATCTATCTATCTATCTATCTATCTATCTATCTATCTATCTATCTATCTATCTATCTATCTATCTATCTATCTATCTATCTATTTATCTATCTATCTATCTATCTATCTCTATCTATCTATCTATCTATCTATCTATCTATCTATCTATCTATCTATCTATCTATCTATCTATCTATCTATCTATCTATCTATCTATCTATCTATCTATCTATCTATCTATCTATCTATCTATCTCTCTATCTATCTATCTATCTATCTATCTATCTATCTATCTATCTATCTATCTATCTATCTATCTATCTATCTATCTATCTATCTATCTATCTATCTATCTATCTATCTATCTATCTATCTATCTATCTATCTATCTATCTATCTATCTATCTATCTATCTATCTATCTATCTATCTATCTATCTATCTATCTATCTATCTATCTATCTATCTATCTATCTATCTATCTATCTATCTATCTATCTATCTATCTATCTATCTATCTATCTATCTATCTATCTATCTATCTATCTATCTATCTATCTATCTATCTATCTATCTATCTATCTATCTATCTATCTATCTATCTATCTATCTATCTATCTATCTATCTATCTATCTATCTATCTATCTATCTATCTATCTATCTATCTATCTATCTATCTATCTATCTGTCCTTTGTGACTGCAAGTCAGTCCTCCGGGCGACTCATAGGGATCCACGAGACAACATGGAGGGAGAACTGACCTGCCAGCTAAACAGACTCACAGAAAATAATCAAATCGTTCTCCAGTGGATCCCGGCTCACTGCGGCATACCAGGAAATGAGTTAGCAGACAGACTTGCAATAAATGGAGCAAAGGAGAAAAGACACGCCCATTCAGTGTCATTACCAGACATCAGAACACTTATCTAAGGAAAATACAAGAGATTGTGGAGAGAACAAACTAACAGTAAACATCCACAAGACCCGATCAGCAGACTTAACAGAAACAACACAACAGTTTTCCGTCTACGAACAGGCCACTGCAGGCTCGACTACCACATGCATAAAACGATTGTACAGTTCCCACTGTGTGCCTGTCAAACGGGACCCCAAACACCTCAGCACCTTCTGCAGACCTGCCCACTGTACCTGTAACTTCGAAAAGACACCTGGCCTCAAGAGCAAAGTGTGCAGAGCAATCTATGGGAAACCATGCAGGACCTGCAGCTGACATGAGGCAACCCACCTGATGGTCTGATCTTAGCATACGAAACCGAACGCAAAGGAGAAAAAGAATGTACCTATGAGCCATGAAAGACAACAGAAGGAAGCATTCGATCGATCATTTTGTCAACTCTTTACCGTTATCTAAAGGTTCACCATATCGTCCTGAAATTAAAAGTCTCAGTCTGGACCACAAACCAACAAGTTGGATCCCAGATACTCCGTTCAACCTCAGATAAGTTATCACTAGAGTACCTGTAACAGTTACACCTGCCAGGTGTAACTTCATAAATAAACAACCCTTGAGGCGGTAAACACATGTTAAGATTCGAAATTATTTTTGCTTCTGGCAGCGCTTTGCTAATGCAGTTTCCACATATGGACGGAAGTCTACGTTTTCGCTGCCTGAGCTACTAAGTTTAGCTTGGTGCAGCCCTGTGAGCTGTTCGTTTTTTTTTTTTTTATGGAAGGCCTGTCCTCTGTGCAACGGCTGACTTGTGATATTCAATATGGCCGGAAGCCGGATTATGTGTGTTCGGGTAAAATACCTTATGTATTAATTCTACGTATTATAGCCAACTTATCGTGACTGACAACTTTCTTGAACGACAAATTGCATTTCTGGTGGTGACTGTTGGGCTTTTTAGCAACTGTCAAATGCATTTACTGCGTGCGCATATTTCTTGACTGTGCCAATACTAATTGTTTGTTCACTAGTTGTTTTTTTTTTTTTAATTAGACAGCGAGGGCCATTGTATTTGATTCCCACGGACACAGGAACGAAGCAGGTGTGGAGTGACCCCATTACAGTAAAGTTAAAACCTCGACTAATACTAAGACTTAGAAATATAAAAGGACATACTAGACACAATATAAATGGAAAGCTATAGCTACCATGCCAACCTGTAGTTAAATGCGAGTAGAAACAAGGAAGTAAGAATTAAACGGATTTTTAAGGGTCTTCCGACGGATCATCGAAGCGTTATGAACGAGAACATTCAATTTGCTAACACATCTTCGAGACTAAGTGACGAAACAAATGGTATTACACTCAGAGAATGCAAAATCAAATTTCACAGTTGATTCTTGTCATTTTTACGTTGGTTCTTCAACCTTGCTCTTATATAATCAAGGAATCCCTCAGTGGGGGTTTACTATCTCGGTGGTCAAACATGATCACAGGGTCATTAGCAAACAATGAAAAACCTCTAGTTTGAAAACGTTTCAAAAATAAAGCCACTAGATCGAAAAGAAAAATCTATTAGCACGTGGGCTACCAGCGAAATCTTTCTTCTTGTTAGAAATCATACCGTGTGGCGGTGGTTGTCATGACAATCCACAACCTTCTGTCTCGTGTACTTGCAATCAGGTCTTACTCAGGGGAGCCTCCGTGTCAAATTGTCAAACATCTTCTTTCTCTGTCTCCCTATGCCTCTCCTCGCCTACAACATTCCCCCTCTCAAGAGGACTCTAGTTTTCTTCCTCTCATCGCACGACGAAAGAATGTAGATTGTCGTGATCTGAAGAGAAATCTTTGCTTGCTTGAAACCAATGGTTTGCGAACATTTTCAGGTGGTGCCCACTTAAAAATATAAACAGATTCCCACACTCAAGTCCTCCTGATTAGAAAAAAAAAAATAATTTATAGAGAACACAAGAGGCGAAATAGACAGCAGGGAGACGGTTGACGTACAACTTGCTCATGAAAACAAACGTTCGTGACATTTTCTTTTATAAATACTTTAAACAATATTAAATTTATAATTAAAAAGAAAAATTAGGTACCAGATTATAACAAATTGAGTACATTTTAAGATTACTTGACCACCCTCCCCTCCCCCTCTTTTTTTTTAAACGTCCTTTCGAGCAGTGTAGGGACCCGCCCGCCCCCGCCCCCTTTTCCCCCCACCAAATTTTTCCATTTTAAAAGGGAAACAAATGATTTCAACGTTTCAGTGTCATATTTTGTGGCTTACTGGTTACTGGGATGGTTTCACAATCTAATCATCAGGATTCGATTTTTAGTGGCGGGCAGTTTTAAAGAAAAGTAAAACAGTTCTAATATCTCTGAGACTGTGGCACGAGAGTGGCACTGTGAAAGAGACTGGGGTTCTTATCAGTAACAGTCGCCACTCAAAATAAACAATGCAGTGGATGTTGCACAGCTTTCTTTCCTTGTGGATACGGTAATGGCAGTTAATTCTTTTGATGCGTATGCACTTCAAAGGGCATTTTGGCAAGTCGCGTTGTGTTTTACAGTTACAGTAGAACCTCGCTTAACGATCACCTCTCATAACGAGTAATTCGCATAACGAGCAAAACAAATTGTTTAAAAAAATAACTTGCTTAACGAGCGACGTTTCGCATAACGAGTGGCGAGGAGAGGGAAAGTCACGGATTGTGCGCTTGTTACATCAATCGGTGTTTAGCACTCGTTCCAGTAGCATCGTAGTGTCGCTTGTGATCACACATTTTCTCAAACTTGTGTTATATTGTGATATATGTACATGAATCCTCCAGGCCTACAAGATGACCTCTCTGAAGAATTTAAGTTTATCAAGATCCAGTTTTTGCCTCCCATCACCACTCTGTTGCTCCAGCCCATGGACCAGCAAGTTATTTCTAGCTTTAAGAAGCTCTACACTAAGGCACTCTTCGAGCATTGTTTTCAGGTGACTGAAGGGACCAACCTCACTCTCAAAGAGTTTTGGAAAAATCACTTCCACATCGTTGCTTGCCTCAAGATGATCGACAAGGCGGGGCAAGGGATTACCAAGAGAACCATAATTTCTGCTTCGAAGATGCTTTGGCCGGAGAGAGTTGTCGATCTGTGACTTTAAGGAGTTCGAGACAGTACCTGTTGAACCTGTAGTCAACGAGATTGTGTCTTTGGCGACTATCATGGGATTTTAGGCGGATAACAGTGATATCGAAGAGCTTGTGGAAGAGCACAGCCAAGAGCTGACCACCGAAGAGTTTATGGAGATGCATTGTGTTTTACAGCAAGTAGTTTTGGAGGAAAGTTTGTCAGAGGCGGAGGTAACAGAAAAGCAACAATCTTCTGGCGAAATAAGAGAAATGCTGAAACATGGCAAACTGTTGCATCTTACATTGAGAAGCATCACCCTAATAAGGAAGTGGCTATTCGCGATGCAAATTTATTT